ATTCCAACTTTTAACTTAAAAATATAATAACTCTATACTTAATAAAAAAGGGTAAAGTACACAAGTGATCTCCCGACTACATGACACTATTTTATTGAGTCCCCCAATTATTAAAAGTTATAAAATGGTCCCTCGACTATAAGATGTTGCTTTATTGAGTCCCTGGACCATTAAAAGTTACAAAATGGTCAACGACTATTCATTATGTTTCAAACTCGTCATTTTTCGTTTTAACGGAAACCTGAGTTGGATGTTAATCTATTTTCTGAGTTATGATAGTCGTTTGAGATTCTAAGATAAGATTTTATCATATCTCAAACACTAGATTAACATTTAGTTCATACTGCCATCATTTTTTTTAACAAAAAATGATGAATTTGGAAGATAGTGAATAGTCATATGATCATTTTATAACTTTTAATAGTTAGTGAACTCAAAAAATAACATCCTATAGTTAAAGGAGCATTTTATAACTTTTGATTATCAAAGTCTCAAAACAATACCCTATAATCGAACCATTTGTATACTTTACCCTAAGTCCCTAAGAAAATTGCTTTCCCAACTTTTGACGTCTTATACAATATGGTTGATCCCAACTAAGACACCAAAGATACTCCGATGCCACCTCTTTCATTTTCTTAGATTATATATAAAGAGGATAAATTACCTCAGATACCATTGGAATTTAAGTGGTTTATCTTTTATACCATCAAACTTTTCAATTTCTTCAATTTTAAAATTAAATTTTTGTTTTGATTTCAATTACATCATTGGACAGTCAAAATCTAAATGATGTGATGACATAGACAAAATTTAGGAGTACATCTATTTTGTCACTAAACTTGTAAATAATTCACTTTTTAATATTATATTTTTTGAATGTTGCGACAACCAATCACCGACGTCACTGATCCTCTTTCATGACAAGACCGATATCAAAACGTTCATATTTCACTCCTCTTTTTCCCCCTAAAATTGATTTTCCACAAAACTTACTCAAAGTTGATGAAATTAAAACAAAAAACCACAACTTTTAGGGGTTATTCGAAAATTCAAACGGTAGGAAGTATTATTTCAAGAAGATGAATAACATACCTTAAAACTAACCTCATTGGAGGAGATTTTCATATTAGCACGTTCAACCTTTAATGAACTTTCGCCGGTTTTAAATGGTTTTCGTGAAAAAACAATTATGAGAAGAAAGAGGAGCTAAATGTGAATATTTTTATACCGATCTTATGATGAAAGAGGGTGATAGACGGTGATTAGCTGCCAACGACTGCTGAAAAAGTTTAATGTCAAAAATCGATACACCTCTCAAGTTTAGTGTCTAAAATGACATTGTCTTTGACATCAATAGCCACGTTAAAATGATATTATTTTATTGGTGTCATCACAATGAAAAAAATATCGGTTCATAACATCGTACCATTAAATTTAACAGATTAGTGATGTAATTGAAGTCAAAATCAAAGTTTAATGTTATAATTGAAGAAATTAAAAGTTCAACGGTATAAAAGATACACCCCTAAAGTTGAGTGATACCTGATGTAGTTTAGCCATAAAATAAAACATAAAATTAGAAGCAACAGAAGTTGATAGCACTCCTCCGTCCAAATGATAAAAAACGTGGAGATTTTTTTTATAATTCTGATTAAGAAATTTCGAGTTAAGTTTCCGTCCAACTTATTGGTTGTTGTTTGGATGACTTGCGATTTGTAATGGCTGCCTGAAAAGTTGACCCAACTTCCCCAAGCAAACCAAAAACGCAGCAATGGTGGTTAAGTTATTTGCACTATTATATTTATATGATTAACTCACTTCTGCATTTCCATCATAGAAGAAGCAACAACCCAGTGAAAAAGATTTGACTTTTGAGAGAAAAAGAAAGTTATTTCTTGAAAATGGAGAAGGCAATCAACAGACAAAAGGTTTTGCTTGATCACTCAAGTCCCTCTTCACCATCAACCATCTGCTGCTGCTACTCTCTTTGTTCGTTTTTTAACATTCTTTTCTTGGATTTTGTTCCTTTTATTTTGCTCTTTCTGTTTTTTTAAAAGTGGGTTTGTTTTTCGTTTGATCAGCCTTCAATTTGTCATTTGAGGATTTTTCAACCATTTACAACTCTAATAATCTATATTTCGTATGTTCTTTGATCTATTAATAAGGGAACTTGTTGCCACACAGGGCATGCCGCACTCCAATTTGTAAATCAAAGCGTGGAGGATTCAAAGATACACCTGCAGATGATTTGCTTGCCCCTGTTTTGAAGGTTTAAAAACGCTCTTGCTTTTCAACTTCAGTTGTCTTTGAAATCATATTCCTCTTGCTTCCCATCTTAAGTTGATTTTGCATGCAGGCTTTGGTTGATAGAACAAAGGTGAATCCAAGTGAAGGGGGGGATATAGTTGTCGGTACAGTGTTGGCACCCGGTTCACTCCGAGCAACCGAGTGTAGGATGGCTGCATTCTATGCCGGTTTCCCTGGTACACTCTTTTCTGAGATTTTAACTATTTGCTTTCAACTTTCTACTGAACTTCATTCATTAACTGCAACAACTTGAGCTTGACTCGTCTATATTTGCTGCACGAGATAATCAGTTATTTTTCTACTCTTATGTTGGCTTAAAAGCTCGAGTTCCTCACATTGCTTTCTTATGCTCCATTTTGTAGAAGCTTTGCTGTTGTTGGTGTGGATCCTGCTGTGATAGGCATCGTTCCTGCCGTTGCAATACCAGTTGCAGTCAAGTCTGCAAGTCTTAAGATTGATGATATTGACTTGTTTGAGGTCAACGATGTAGAGGGTTTCTTTAATTGATCTTATGTTGATTATGAATGCCATTTGAATTTACTTTCTTTTCTAAGTATACTTTATGTACATTTTCCCCAGGCATTTGCATCTCAGTTCATATACTCTTGTAAGAAACTGGGGCTTGATCGTGAAAAGGTCAACGTTAATGGAGGTGCAATGGCCTTCGGGAATCCTTTGGGCAGTACAGGTGCTTATCTTACAGAAATTTGACAATCGGTTGCAGGTAAAAAACTGAGCCTATGATAAATAATGAGAAGTCGAAACAATTCAGGACACAAACATGCACCATTTTGTGTGTGTTTGATATTCTGCCAATTTGTTTTACTGTCTAAAAAGATACTATATATTACATGTTCTAACTTTTGCAGAGGATAAGCTTTGATATTTAGGATGGTCTGGAATTAGTTTTTGATATATATATTTTTGTGTATCAGGAGCTCGCTGTGTTAGTACCCTGTTGTACGAGATGAATCGTCGCGGGAAGGACTGTAGATTCGGAGTGATCTCAATGTGCATAGGCAGTTAGGCACTGGAATGGGAGCAGCAGCTGTCTTTGAAAGGGGAGACTATTGATGAACTCTGCAATGGTCGAGCTGTCTATCAAAGGATGTTCCATGTATGTGTTTGTCAGTATCGTATCATTTGTATTAGGTCAATTGAGGTGTATGCTTTTTCATATTCCCAAGATCCAATAATTGTGAGTTGTCAAAGCTGAATGCGTGAAAATCAAAATAAAATTGTTTGCAACACCTCAAGAGTGGGGATTGGAATTTATATATAAATATTCTTTTTGCTTATTCTCCATAGTTTTTCCCTAAGAATGCTGAAGCTTTGAGATGCATGCTTGAGGAAAACCAGGTTGTTTCAAGCTTTAACCCCTTTAAGCTTTCAAGAATCAAAGGTTTCAAGATGATCTAATCTGACTCTGTCGAAGCAAATAGTATACATGTGCGTCATAAAGATTAAAGACTCTGGCCCGTAGCCCCTGTCATCTGTGGAACGGGTACATGCTTGCATAATCGATGCTAGCTTTCAAAGTGAATGCTCTAAGATCCATCGTATATGTTAACAATGATGTTGCACAAAAACTTAACAAGTCATGTATATATGTGTTATTTTTTGAGTCATGTTAGTATTAATTTCTACATTATAAAGTCTCCATATCAATATATGTTTTGGATTAGGTGCATATGTTAATTCATAATTAGCATTGGTGATGATGTGTTCAAACATGATAGTAATATGCATGAGGCATTAGATAAGTGTGTGAAAGGTTGCTTGTAAATGTTGTCTGTTGCTCAAAATGACAGTTAGTGTTATCGTGTACTAAGCATGCAAGTAGATATAGTTGAGTTATAGATCTTTTGTATGCTATTGTGTAAATGTTCATGTGCTTGATTAGTATGTACTAGGGTTCCAAACTCACAGGGTACCCTCAAAACTTGTAACATTTTTCGAAACTTTGAAAGGTTTCATACTACTAGTTGAGTTTTAACTGAATTAGGGAAAATAACTTGTTTAAGCCTTCTAATTGCCATGAATTACCTTCTAGTCCTTAGCTTTAATATACATGCCAATTTAGTACATAAATTTGATAGATTACATATTTTAATAATTGATTTTTTAATTTACATTCCGATTGATTAAATCTTTATTTGACTGTTACACGTGACACTTGTCGATTTGATTTATGATCAAGTTAAGTTTGGTGTGTTATATTTATTGATATTAGAGTCTATGTTTGATCAATTCTAGGAATAAACCGAAGTTTGTTGTGTTCATACGAGTCAATACATGTCACCTAAGAGTTTAAATTACTCGTAATATCAAAAAGTCCATGACGTTTGACTAAATAGTCACTTTGATATCTTTTTATTTTTTGAAGTACTTTACTTCCAAATGTTTTATTTTAAGGTAAAATGTTTACTAATTGAATGAAAATTGTAAATTAAATAAAGATCAATTCTAGTTGCTAACGTGTCAAGTGTTACGTGTCTAAGGTAATGAGATGATAAAATAAGACTCATTTTAAGAAATAAATGAGATTATTTGAATAATTCTTTCTTATATATTAGGATAAAATGATCTGTAATGACTGTCTAAAACGTCGTTCCAACTACTCCCAAGCAGAACAAAAGAGCAACAACGATGGTTAAGTTTTTAGCACTATATATATGTTTGATCCATTTATGCATTTCCATTATAGAAGCAACAACCCAGTGAAAAGGATTTGACTTTTGAGAGAAAAAGTAAGATCTTTGATAAAAAAAATGGAGAAGGCAATCAACAGGCAAAAAGTTTTGCTTGATCACTTAAGTCCCTCTTCACAATCCCATCAATCATATGCTACTCTCTTTGTTAGTTTAATCTTTCTTTTCTTGGATTTTGTTTTTTTTTTTATTTTTATTTCTAAAAGTGGGTTTGTTTTCATTTCATCAGCCTTCAATTTGTTCGACTGGGAACAACACTGCTTTTGGGGATGATATTGTGATTGTGGCGTAAGTCATTTGGAGATTTTTCAACCGATTAAGAGTCAAATGATATATGTTTTATATGTTCTTTGATCTATTAATAAGGAAAATAGTTGTTACGCATGGCATGCCGCACTCCAATTTGTAAGTCAAAGCGTGGAGGCTTTAAGGATACACCTGCAGATGATTTGCTTGCCCCTGTGTTGAAGGTTTAAAAATGCTCTAGCTTTTCAACTTCGGTTGTCTTTGAAATCATATTCCTTTACTTCCCATGTTATGTTGATTTTGCATGCAGGCTTTGATTGATAGAACAAAGGTGAACCCAAGTGAAGTGGGGGATATAGTTGTCGGTTCAGTGTTGGCTCGTGTTGCACTCAGAGCAACAGTGTAGGATGGCAGCATTGTATGGCGGTTTCCCTGGTACGATTATTCTTTCAAACTTTGTTATTTCTTACTCTTCTCTGAAATTTTAACTATTTGTTTTTAACTTTCTACTGAATTTCATTCGTATATAAATGTAGCTAATATAGTTACCTTTTTCAACCAGATACAGTGCCTATTAGAACTGTCAACAGACAATGTTCATCCGGCCTACAAGCAGTTGCCGATGTTGCCACTTCCATAAAAGCAGGATTCTATGATATTGGTGAGTATCTTTCAAAGATTTATTGGGATATCTTCAGCTTGGATAGAGTATTAACCTGGTTGGTTTTCAAATGTAGGCATTGGTGCTGGATTGGAGAGCATGACAACAGATGGTTTAGCTACTGGGTTAGAGAAAGTTAACCCAAAGGCACGTCCAACACGCACTTTGTTTTCACTATTTTGGATATGTTTTACATTATCAGCTTAATATGCAACTGCACTTATTTTTTACAGACGGATAGCTTTGCCCAAGCCCCGGATTGTCTTCTTCCTATGGGCATTACTTCCGAAAACGTTGTACAACGCTACGGTATCACACGGCAAGAGCAAGACCAGGCTGATGTGAGTTCTTTCTTTTTCAATTTGCCTCCACCTACTGGTGTAGACTTTATCTTTGTTAGTCTGAACCACCCATGTAATCCAGGGCCGGGGCTAGGACGTTGGAGGCCTTGTGCAAATTCTTAAAAAGATATACTTTTTCGTATAGTGAGTTAGACCTAAAAAAATGAGATAAATTTTACAGCTGTAGCACAGTACTAATTATTGGTATTTCTCATATCTTCCTTCGAACAAAGATTTTTGGACTCCTTTTTGATAGCTTAATCATCTACGATAATACCAATAACCTCATTGTGAATTTTTTGGGGCCCTTGCTAGTCCAAGGCCTTGTTCCGTCGTGCATATTACGCATGCCTAGCCCCACCTCTGATGTAATCGTAGGTCGAATCGCATAGACGGGCTGCTGCTGCTACAACATATGGTAAATTCAAAGAAGAAATTATCCCTGTAGCCACAAAGGTAATTTCGGGTAGCGAATTATTCCAGTTTATTATTTTTATGATATTTTATTAACTTTCATTGTTAATATGCAAAGATTGTGAATCCTAAAACTGGAGAAGAGCAAGCAATCGTAATTTCAGAGGATGATGGTATCCTCCCTGATACAAACATGGCAGGTCTAGCCAAATTGAAGCCTGCATTTAAGAAGGATGGAACCACAACTGCTGGTACATATATGCGAATCAAATTTGTGAAAGTTTTTACTCTGACCAGAACACTATGTGATCTAAATGAAAATTTGTGTCCCAATTTTTTCCTATAGGAAATGCTAGCCAGGTGAGTGACGGTGCAAGAGCAGTCCTCCTTATGAAGCGAAGATTGGCCATGCAGAAAGGACTGCCCATCCTTGGTGTTTTAAGGTGATCAAAACTGCTACAAGTTGAGCTTGGCTCAACTATATTTGTTGCACGAGATAAGCAGTTGTTTTTCCTACTCTTTTGTCAGCTTAAAAGCTCGAGTTCTTCACATTGCTTTCTTATGCTCAATTTTGTAGAAGCTTTGCTGCTGTTGGTGTGGATCCTGCTGTGATGGGCATCGGTCCTGCCATTGCTATACCAGTTGCAGTCAAGTCCGCAGGTCTTAAGATTGATGAAATTGGCTTGCTTGAGATCAATGAGGTAGTGGGTTTCTTTAGTTGATTTTATGATGACGATGAAAGTCTTCTGAATTTTACTTTCATTTCTAAGTATGCTATATGTATATGTTTTTTTTTCACAGGCATTCGCTTCCCAGTTCGTATACTCTTGTAAGAAACTGGGGCTGGATCGTGGAAAGGTCAACGTTAATGGAGTTGCAATGGCCCTCGGGCATCCTTTGGGTTGTACAGGTACTTATCGTACATAAATTTGACAATTTGTAGTAAGTAAAAAACTGAGCCTGTGATAAATAATGAGAAGTTCAAACAAATCAGGACACAAACCTGCACCACTTGGTGTATGATTGATATTATGCCAATTTGCTTTACAGTAAAAGAAAAAAAAAACATGTTCCAACTGAAGACCAAATTTTGTCCCTTGGGCTAGCATTATTAAAGAATATATTTTACGTTGCATAACACACATTTTTTGTGTGCAATGTTATCGCATGACATTTAATATTTCAGTGACCGAAAATACTTTATAATATACGATTTTAACTATTTTTTTTGGATTTGCGAAAATGACTAACAAATTCGCAACACGAACTCCAATTTCATAACACAGAAGTCAAATTCGCAAAGTGCGTTTATTTTCGCAACGCGATTTTTTTTCCGAATTCGAAACACAATATTAATTTCGCAACACAAATGTAAACAATATAATCGCAACTCATAACCTAAAACCCAAAATCACAACTCAGTATCATCTCCATCTCTCACTCTCTACGACGACATCCGTCCCCATCTCCGATGAAATCAGTCCCCATCTCCGACGAAATCCGTCTCTCTATCTCTCAGAGCCACCCTCACAACCATTCACGGCCACAAATGGAAAATCAATCACCGAGGGTTAGTTTTTTTTAATTATTTTATTTTGAAATTTTTCTATTATTATTAGATTTTTCATATTTAAATTAATGATAAATTTACTGTTAATTTCAATATATAGATTAACCATTTCACTTAGATTGCTTAGTAAATTCATTTGGTTGCTGCCAATACTGCTAAACTGTTTAGTCTTTAACCCTGTGAAGTTAATATTTGTCTTTGTTTTGTATTTTGGTTGAAGTAATGCAATTCATTCAAGTTTCAATTTGCAGAAGAATAGTTTCTGAAACTTAAATTCGCAACATGAAAATCGCAACGCGATTTTCATTTTCACGTTGCGAATTTAAGTTTCAGAAACTACTCTTCTTCTGTAAATTGAAACTTGAATGAATTGCATTACTTCAACCAAAAAACTATGATAGAATAATGAATTGGGTGAATATCGTGCTAGTTTGAAACATATTTGGCTTTGTTTTCACTGTTTAATATCATGTCTGTTTATAGTGTATAATTTGTAGTTTTTGGTATATCTAACTTGGTATGTTTATTGTTTTTGTTAGAATTTTTTTTCGGCTTCATTGACTCTAAGGAATAAATTAAGCCTAGCCACTACAATAGCGTCGACAATTACAGTTGTACAAAGAAAATTGTTTGAGGATACTTGCTTCGGGCCATGGCTGAAAGTACAACATCCAGGTGGAGATGCTATGTTGACCCATTTGTTTCTTCAGACCATGACTAACGATCTACCCGAGAGGATACAACGTGGTGATGAAGAGATATGGTTTCATTTTCCACCGGCGTATACTTGTTTTGGACGGGAGGAGTTTTGCTTAATCACTGGTCTACGTTTCGGACACGATGAAGTAGGTCGGTACATTAGTTATATCTCCCGCCCATCATGGTTATCTCGGGTTTTTCCTGAGCTGGCAAAGGCGAAGCCCGATTTACACGTCGACGACTTGAAAAGATTACTTATTAAAGATGATTTTACTCGGATGGATGACCTAGATGTTGTCCGAGTATGCCTTTTATTACTTTTGAATGCCGACTTTTTAGGCAAAGAGGCCAGAAAACCTATTTCTGAGGACCTAATATTATTGGTAGAGGACCTAAATGCATGGAACGTGTTTGCGTGGGGTTCATATCTATGGAAAACTACCTGGAAAAAGTTGTCTTCTGCCTTTGAGGACCGTCCTAGTTTGCGTGGCGATGGTTCCAAATACACTTTGGTAGGCTTTATTTGGGTCTTTAAGGTAAGAATTTCTATATAATGTTTCCAAAATTATAATTAATTATTTAACAATTACTAATGTTTGTGTATTATATTTTTGTAGATTTGGATATTTGAGGCTTTTCCCAGCATGCGGACATATACAAGAAAAAATTCAAATGATATTCATAGGGCTATTACCTGGAGGATGATCCGGTTGTTGGATTGGGAATATTTACTACCATATACGACGATGAATGATGTAAGTTAACACAAATACTAACATATATAAACAAGTTATTACTATAGACATTTAACTTTGTTTGAGCTTTTATATTATTATGAGGCCAACTATCCATTACAGAGGCTGACACCTACAGAGGCTGAGTTTGCCACTGATTGGTGGCAAGCTAGTAAGCATTTTTTTGATTGAACGAATGATGAGCACCCTCTACTTCGAGAGCCATCACCCGATCGAACCGATTCTACAGCTCGACACCCAGAGCCATCACCTGATCGAGCAAAATATACACCTCCATAACGAGAGTCATCACATATTCCATCACATCATCGGGCCTCTTCTCCACTTCACATCATGATAGGTGACCGGCAAAGATGCCACAACATTTATCTCCTTGTTCTCCACCTCCACGGGATGAGTTAGGGGAGTTACGTGATGAAATCAGTGCTTTGCGTGATGAGGTCGGTACTTTACGTGACGACAATGATGCATGGCGTGATGAGGTACGGTCTTTATGTGATGAGGTAGATGCTTTATGTCGAGTTTTTCTTGCATGAAGGGGTTCACGCATCAGACATCGTGCATGTGGCATTACGTCTCATTTCACCCCAATAGTGCCAAGACTCTGTAAAAAGAAGCCTGATTCACCTGTCATCATTCAAGAGGCCCCTCCCACTATTCAAGAGTCCCCTGTCATCGTTCAAGAGGTCCCTCCCACTGTTCAAGAGCCCGATTCACATGACATACTATGTCGACATATTGATAAACCCCCTCACGTGCCCGATATGATGGATGAGAGTTGGCTTTCGTATGAGTTACCGGTCGGTACCATTCCTCAGCAGGAGAGGAGAACACTACCGGACACAATTATGGATAATACCCTTTGGGCTAAGACTGCAGTTAATATTTATCTACATGAGCAGAGCCAGGGGTGTTACGCTAACATATGCAAAATCGACGAGAGTATGCATTTGTTTCTTTATCGGTCTTGGTGGGGTGTTTTATTAGGGGTTG